CTGGTTATGTTCTGGCTTTAAAACTGATTTGTTTTGTTGGCAGTCAAGATAGCTGAATAAAGCGTTAGCCTCGCTGCATGCAGTTAGACAAGCCTTTCGGTCATACAAACAAAACAAGTCGGCAAGCGGATGAAGATTTGACCAATCAGAGGCGTCCTGTCTGCGGTCACCTACAATTTGGGAGAGGTGCAGCAGAGTGTGTGCGGAGGGGGCGGAGACGTCTTTGTGTTCGACACCTACACAGACGACCTAGTTTATACGAAGTATAAATCAGCCTTAAAACTTTTAACGAGAGCCAATGGGAAAAGATTTTTGCGCCCTAGGGAGGAAATATGTCACCAATCCATGAAAAACGAATGAGCTTTACTCATCCCACTGGAAAAAATGGAAATCTAGATAAGTCATTTTTTTTCTTAAAATAAGTGGATTTGTTCTTGGATTCAGGAAACACAATTGCATTGTCTTATTTCAAGCGCATGTTATCTAGTTATCTTATTTTAAGAGTAAAAATACTCATTCCATTGGCAAACTACCTCCTTTACCTACTTAAATTAAGAGTAAATACACTGAATTTAAGAAATGTTTCCTTATTTTTAGATTGTTCATCCAGGGCATTTTTTGAACGTCTAAAAAATATATATATATATCAATACATTTCGAAATATATTCAATTTTAATTTCAATTTATATCATAAAAAAGAAATCAGGGTCATTGGGTTGGCAGGCCCCCACTGCCAACGATCCCTTTAAACTTTATCCAAAAGTTTAAATTCGATCTGTTTTGATGGATCTTCTGCCAAAATATGAAAAAACAAACATCTGTGTTTACAAGCTTTTGTCTGCATAAAGGTCAGCATGACAGAGAGGAGGAGGGAGCTGATAGTGAGTCCACGACCTGAACACCAGCTGGCAGAATACCACAGAGAGGTACAGGATCACACACAAACACACGCCCTGTTCACGCACGCTGCAAACTGAACCCGTCTGCTGCCGGCCCAGCTCACCGATGTGCTGCAGGAGGTCCGGGACCAGGTGCAGCGGGAACACGAGAGGAAGCTGGAGCAGCTGAAGGACGACCACCGGAGGGAGATGAACGACATCAGAGAGAAATATCTGGAAGAGGTGGAAATCCAGCATGTTACAGTTTAACCGCATCCTGGAGGGAAATCCAGTCCTGTCCGCTTTAAGGTTTTTATTTTGGTGCTGTCTACATGTCCGTGTTTCCAGGAGGCAGCTCAGAGGGAGCGGTTGCTGTCGACGCTACAGGAGGACAGAGAGCGCCTCCAGGCGTCACATGACCTCCAGCTGGAGAAACTCCGCCTGCAGCTGGACGGACAGATACAAAAGGCTCAGCTCGCTCATTCCCGCAAGGTGGGCAGGAAATGCAAGAAAAGACGGGTTCTGTCTACCTGCAGCGTGTTTAAAGGCTTCTGCTACTAACAGATGATCTTCTTTCCCGCAGGAGTCGGAGCTGCAGGATCTGGCAGACAGGTTGGAGCTGAGAGAGAAAGAGCTGAGGAGCCAGGATGCGTTGCTGCAAACTAAGGTTTATCCTCCAACACTATCCAGGGCTTTGCAGAAGAATCTGGGCTGACCTGGAATATCTGTGTTTTCTGGGATTGAAAGTGATAAACCAGGAAATAGGAGGAAAATCTAACATGAAGCATTGCTTTTAAAAACAAAGACTACAAATTTAAAGTTAATATTAAGGCCTGAGCTTTGACTAGGCCACTCCAAACCGTTGTAGTGTTGTAGCTTTTTTTCTTAACTCTGAGAAATTACCGTATAGATTTCCTCCCTCCTACCTGATCTGACCCTGCTGAGCAGCACGGCAAAATAAATTGGCTAGATAAATAGTATTTAATAGTCCATTATTAAATACTGCAATTTGAAAATATATTTTATCATGTCTCTAAATTACAATTAAAAACTACAAATTCATAAATCTGATTATAGATAAACATTTCTTTTAATATTTTTTTATCACCTATCAAATCTCTTTCAGTTTCATTTTCATTTTACATTACCCTCTCCATTTATAATTCCCATTTCCTCTGATCGCTGAGCTTTCTCTTTATGATCTTTTCCTTTCAGCTGGAGACCTTTACTGGGAAAAAAAAAGTATTCAACTATTTGCATTTCACTCAGTCAGGACTTTATTTTGATATCTTTGCAAAGAGAGAACAGTAAAGTCCTGACTGAGTGAAATGCAAATAGTTGAATACTTTTTTTTTCC